GTCTCAGATTTTCACCAACCTCCCCCTCCCCCTCTCCCTCAACCAACACCACCACTCTCGTGTTTAAATGAGGCTATGTGACCACGGAAGTCCTTTACTGCTTGAATAAAGAAGTGTGATGTCAATAAATCGATAACACAAATGCTACATAGATTGATCAACTCTAACCACAACAACAACAAAAGCAAGGTAAAGCAACAATAACAAAGACCTAATGTTTTGCCGATTTACCCGCTTATCCTACGTCTAACAACATTACCGGTACCCCGCTCTTCTGCTGCGAAAAAAAAAAGACTAATAACATAACATAATAGCATAATAAGTTATCGAGGTTTAAAATAAATTACGTACTCAATAAATTAAGGGGAAGAACTCTTTATGTTTAACTGTAAAGCTCTAGTTCTGCTGACAAAAAAGGAAAAATTCCATACGAAACGAAGTACTTGGTATGCTGTCGGAGCACCCTCTAATGTAAAGACTGCACTCTGGGTTTTACCTCGTTTAAAACGTCCATCAAAGCTCTGCTGTTAATATGACTACAATCAACCGCCCAAATTTAGCAGTGGATTGACTGCGCGTATGAAAATCTACATGAAACGAATAACTCTTGCTAAGGTGGTGACTTTTATCCTCAGCCAGAAAGTACACGACCTTAAGGAATTTTCACGTAATAACTCGATGCGACTGTGTACAAATGAAGTAAACCTACAGCTCTACCAAGCAAACCGCTACAAATTCAGTACGACAGAAGTAACACTGTGTAAGACCAAGGCACGACTAATATACGACTTAAGGCCAACTCGTGTACGACTGAAGACGAACCCGAAACGACTAAGGACGACTCCAGCACGAATAATGTAAGACCAGGAATAGCTCAGGTACGATTATAGACAATCCTAGTACGAGTCACAACCGACCAAAGATGACTCCAATAGGACTGTAGACGACCTTGACACGACCGTGAAACAACTTGGACCAATTCCAGTACGACTAATGTACGACCTGAGAAGACTCCGATACGACTGAAGTACAATTGAGGACGATTCCGGTGGAGTACAATTCCGGTTGAGTACGATATATAAATGCAACTTCGTTCTTAAACACAACTCGTACAGCACAAAAAGGAGTTCTGATAACCCTTTTAAATTAAGTATAGATGCTCTCTTCGCCAAGTAAAAGTTAGCGAGCTAGATTCATACCCAAAAAACTGCATTCTGTGATTGAAGACACATGCTGTATCGAACTTAGTCCTCCAGAGGATGTCGTGAGAACTCGACCATTTCACTACCTGATGAAAAAACGAGAAAATCTTGCTCAATATCCGGTTGTTTAGTGCTTGCGTTACTTTCTTTGTTGTCGACATTGCCATTTACTAATCCCTCAGATCTCTCTTTCAGAAATTCATCGTTTGAGGCGCCTAAGTCCCCTGAAAAAGCTGTTCCATTGTCTCGTATCTCTGAAGACAAGGTGTAAGTAACTGGGTGAGTAGCTGGATCCTCGCTGCTATTTCTACCACTGCCATGATCAAGTCTTGGAGACTTGTTTAACCGTGACGGAGTCACTTGTTTCCTGAAATGATAATAATAGCAATAATAATAAAATGATTAGAGTGGATCAAAGAAGACAAAGATAGTTTATCACAATCATTCAAAAGCCCATCACAGTTTAAGATGGTTCGCAATAGTCTACAATGATATTGCTAAGACAAACTAACTAGTTTTAATTTACATCGGTTGATGGCCAAGTGATGAAAAATTTCAAGGTTGTTCAGTCGCAAATTTAAGGTAGGTCTGAACTTCTCTCTGAAAGTAGAAAAAAAGATGTGGAGGCCTAAATTCTTTTAGCTGATACCTACAAATAAACACTAGATTAGATATGAAGTAATTATTGGATGAGATTGAACATGATAACATAAATTATGATTCTTCACTTGAAAGAGCGTCTGAACAATTTCAGCAACTTTTCGTTCATGAACTTTATTCGTCTGGCGATTATTTTTCGGAATCATCTGATAGCTTCCATGCCACTTGGATGAAAGTGGCCTCTTCTTCAAAACGAGGCCTGGTGCTCAACCATTCGCATGAATATGAGTTTAATTTGTATGTGAATGGAACCCTATAATCATATGAGAGGATGAGCTCAAGGACTCGCCTTGAAAAAGAGGCCAAAGGTAATTCGGAAATGGCCCATTATGAGACACTTACCGCTTTGACTTTAAATGAGCCAGAACAGAACTCAACGCTTCTTTCGGGCCATTTTCACCGTGACAGCTAGTTTGCAAATGTCGTGAAATGTCATCTAACAGCCGGTGCTGTGACACATCGGTGTGCTGAAAATCTACAGCGTCACGCAGTCGTTGGTTTTCTTTCTCCAACAAGTGAATGCGCTCCAAATACGAGTTCCTTTCAGTTTTAACCACCCTTAACCTTTTCAGTAAATTGTCACGCTCTTCATTCGCTTGCGTGACAATCTCCTTCAAGAGTGAATAATCAGAATTATCTCGATCATATTCCATTTTCTTTTCTGTCACAAAATCGCTTTTTGGTCCTTCTAATCTTCCCCACAACTTTTCAAGCAACGATTCTTTGCAGTGATTCGCGCTGAGTTCTACGCTATTGACTACCGTTTCCCTCTTCGTCCTTAAAGAGTTTTCGGCCACGCTACTTCTGGTTTTTTCTTTCCTCATTCTCTCTATTGTCCCCAATGCCTCGGCATGTTCTTTTTCTAGTTCCATTAGGGCCGAGAGAGCCTGATTCCGTTCCTTTAATGCTTGGTCGCGCTCATCAGTCAATTCCTTCATCCTTTGCTTCCAGTCTTCCTCGGGCTCTTCGCAGGAATCCTCCCCTTGAAAGGTTCGAGCGAACTCTATTTCGTTTCTAGCCTACAAGAAACTTCGGGAATTAGTTTGCGAGACTTTAACGAGAACACTTTGCAATGTTACGAGTTTCAGGCATAGAGGTTCAAGCTGCATTGTAGTTTCAAAAGTTTCAAAACAAGGAGACAAACAAAGGACACACAAACAGTCAATAAACTTTAATAAAGGTAGTAAGTTTCTAAAGAAACTGTGGTGCTGCGTCGGTGGGGAAGTATAACAGGGTAATTTAGCATTATCAACTGATTTGATAATGTAAATTGGCCACCGTAACGAGTTTTAAAGCTGACTTTTCGAGCGTTTGCCCTTCGTCAGAGCGAATCAGTGAAGGAAGGGGCTAATGCTCATACGAAGGGCTAACGCTCGAAACGTCAGCTTTAAAACTCTTTACGGTGGCCAATTTACGTTATCAACTCAGTTGATAATACTAAATGACCCAGTCAATAAACTTTCCCAGTTGCAACGAATTCCGGGAAAAAAAATAACTTGGACGATATTGCTTAAACAGGACAGAATTTCTCCTTAAAATATCAATGCAATATCAAGTAGACAAGTGACGAGAAAAAAGAAAAATGCCAATTAAGAGATAATTAGTCCAATACCAACGTCTCCAAACTAACATCATCAACGTCTCCGAACTAACATCATCAACGACTTTATAGTAGACAGTAAGGAGAAGTACTAATGAGATCTTGGGGGCGATCGCATCACTTTCGTCTTTTTCTATCTAGCTAACAAAGTTAATATTTTCCTGTCTCTTCCTAGTCAAAAATGTTTTATATATTGCAAAAGAAAAAAAAAATTTAATGAAAATATCGCGAGGTAGCTGCGTCAAGAAAGACCGAACCTCGTTCCCAGGGTCTTTTCTCTTCCACCCTCGACGCTGGTCATGTGTCTCTTAGAAATTGGGAGACACAAAAACCAAACCGAGGGACGGTCTTGCGCGTTAAGTTTTTGTCAATACTAACAGGATGGGTTGGGGGAAACTTTTTGGACCCCAGCTTAAGCTTAAGGAGTTGGAAAAGATTGTGTCGAAGACCCAACCCTCTACTCCCCTAACAAAAGGTTAAAAACAGTTTAAAATCTCTTGCTCCCTGCGGCATTCTTTGGTCTACATAGGCACGTGACTGAGCCGCAGCCAGGGTCCCTTCTCGAGGGAGAAAGAGGGAGGACCCTGAGAACGAGTTTGAAGAAAGCTCTTGAAAGCCACTTTAAACACATCGAGGTTACCTGAGATTTCTCAGAAGACCCAGAACCTTTATTGATAGGTCTTATTCCCCTGTACACATACTGCTGCCCAATGGAAGACACTCGTACGTTCTTCTTGGGGATCAGTCGGTTTCTAGGACTGGCGTAAGCGGACAGGACTAGCTGGTGGCATTCTTTGTACGTAATGTCCACATTAAAATCTTTTTTGAATGCTTTTACCACATCTTGAACGGGAACATACCATGAACTGTCCTGCACGTAGCTTGAAACCACCCTAAACATTGCAGTATTAAAACATTAACTTAGTCTTGTTTGTGTTGAAAGTAAACCGTTATGTAGGTGTCAAAGAGTGCGAAAGAGAGCAAGGGAGGGGAGGGAGGGAAATTCGAAATCAGCACAGTACGCCCCCTCGTTATCTTCTCCTCTTTCTAAAGGGATAGTCCTGTTCAGTACAACAAACGTTGTTATTTGACCTTCATTCCGACCATAATAGTGAATTAGTACCTTCAGCAACTACTGGTAATTGTTTTAGTACAACGAGACAATGTTTGAGGCCGTTTCGTCTGCGAAACGTGATCCAGCTTTCGCACGCCTCAATCCCTCCATGGACTCAGGCGCGATTTATGGCTATCAATCCGAAGCATTAGGGAAGTTTCAAGGCTTCATTTCTAGTAATACAAAATGCACATTTAACTTTTTGACTGCCAGCACTTAATTTCTTTTCACAATATTATTCCTGAATCATACATTACGGCCGTAAGAATAAAGGAAATGATCACCAACTAAAGAAGCCTTGTTAGCAAGGAAAATTCTTAGAGAACAGTATGGAGATTATTTCTCCTCTTACCATTCCTGCAAATTGGAGCTGTCCATAACTAAAGCTGATCTCTCACTCCCTTCACATTCGACGTTGAAATGAGTGCTCACATCTAATGCCATACCATCAGAACCACTATCACACCCAGGAGACTCGCCACCGTATAGTCCTACACCGCTGCTGTCTACAACCATCGTATTGGGGCTACAGCGCTCCAATGTGGCACTTGTGTAAGCGGGTGAGCTTTGGTGATGGCCGGCACCTGCTGATGATGGGGAGTGTGGTGCAGGTGACGCTCGCTTCCGTGATACATTTCCAGACGCAACAGGTGGTGTCCATGTGCTAGTGGTGCTTACACTTTCAATTTTAACTGTGGTTTGACAATATTAACTGTCAGTTCTCTGTTCTCAGAAATCTCTAAGAACTGGGAGTAGGATATGGTCAGATACGATGTAAAATAAATGCGAGATAAGATCAATCTGCCCTAAAACCTTTAATTTTCTATCCATTTTTCAGCCACAAATTGTTTCACCCGAAATCTTTTATATCCTTATATCAATTTTCATATTCTCCATACTGGTCTCTCTACACTTCATATGGTACTGACAAGGAGAACTTGTTTGACAATCAGGAGCTTCTAAAATTGGTGATCATATCCTTTATTCTCAAGACTTTTACATTTTGATTCACCACAGATACTGTGAGGAGAAATTAGATACTAGTAACTGTCAGGGTTCAAGGAGTATTCCCCATTCAGTCAAACGTTAACATCATGAGAACAAAGGACCAAACACAAAAGAAAATCTCGATTGTTTTAAAAATAAAGTCTTGCAGTCAGCACCATAGGATATGTCTGGAGAACATTATGGAGCAGAATATGAATGCTGATGTTTGTGTGATGTGTGAAGGGTTGAATTGCCTGCATCATATTTTTCACGACCTGAGTTGAAACTACTGTAGTAAGTGTAGCTCGACCAGTTCAAACAATTAGTGAAAAGAGTGGAAACATATGACAACCCAGGGGATATATTGGCAACTTTGATCCGCTAATAACTCGCCAATCTAAACATCTGTGCTATTACAAAAAAATGCTTACATTTCAACAGCGAGACACCAGATTTGGAAAAAAATGTTCTAGAAAAAAGAGAAAACATTTATCACTGCTAATATACAAAAGTCTTACCTTCATCGTGATGAGTGGTTCTGGAAGGTTTCCTTCTGATATTTACATACAACCACCTAAAGAGTTTAGTCAAGGAGTCAAACATTGAATCAAATTTATTAAAAAAAACCAATTGCTACTGCTAAGTGAAACTTAATGACTGTCTAGAAGTATTGATCCTCCAAAACTAACATCAATACTTAAAAAAAAAATCCTAAAGTTACCAGCCTCTGTAGTGACCACCCTTCCTCAGATGCACCCTAGGTTCTCCTATGGAGTATCCCTCATCAATCCTCCCACCCAAACATTCAACCCCATAGTTTTTACCCCCGTACATACACTTAATTCAAACCAATTCCAGTGCAAAGTAAAACGAAACCAAAACAAACCCAGATTATTTTTTACACTTAATCGAAAATTGAATTTAATCATACACTGTATTTCTAAAAACTTCTTTTCAATTTCCCAAAAGGATACGCCTTTCTATACTGATCCTCTTTGACCTGTCTTCTCTTATACTCTACCTCTGGAAAAACCTTTTTGATGCGACCAGTCAACACAGTGTCTCGAAGATTCAAAAGGTTGTCAAGATCTGGAAAGTCACTTAAATGTCGTTGGACAACACTTGTTAAGAACTTCACCATATAGAGTCGATCAATAGTGTAACCTGGACACACTTCAAACTCTTGACGAAGAGCATCAAACAAGATTTCATCCAGTTTTAAGTACAGCTCTTTCTTTGGTTGGGGTCTTCTAGGTCCTTTTGAATCTATGAACATCAGATGAAAGATAGAAAAAAATTACACTCAGAAAAAAAAAAAAATCGCATGCACAGTTTCAGCCAATAGCTCCCTCAACCCTCTAACTCCTGAAAGTGACCAAGACAGAATTTCTCCTTACTATATCTACACAATATCATGCAGACAAGTGATGAGAATAAAGAAAAATACCAACTATGAGATTGCTAATTGATCCAGTACCAAATTTCCAAACCAACAAAATGAAAATCATTCGGCAGACGGTTAGGAGAATTACTACTCCGATCTTGGGAGTTAAAGGATTAACTGTATCTTGAAGCACCCTTAGCTAGCATGGATAATTTCCACTTAGGATCAGATCCAAGGAAAGCATGTACATAGATAGAATGGGATTAATAGAGGTTGGTCTTATTAACAAATAAAACATTTAACAAGAAAACCAGTCAAAATTAATTCACAAAGAATTAATTGAGGAGTCACTTTGACCAATAATAATAGTTTACAATCTTAGTAGCCTCTAAAACTTTTAATTAAGACACCCTTCTAAACAATCTCACTTAAGAGCTTCTTTCAAATTTTTTGGCTGATTTAAAGATCCAGTTTTGACCAGTATGCACTGCATGCATTGGCCATCAGGGGCCATTAACTTGGTTCCACAAGCTTCAGGAAAATAATACAAGCCTTGCTCTCACGAAAACCATAACAAAACCAGAGGCACACAATGTATAATGGCCAATACTGGGTCTGTAAGAAACAAAATGTCCTGGAAAAGGTCCTAATAGGATACCTCTAATGTCTAGTCTGGAATATGGCTGCAAAACAAATCTGTCACGTGAATAGTCTGGTTTAATGTCCAGCACACTAGGTCAAATTGTAATTTGTAATCCATATAAAAAGTTTGTTGCCAATGGGAAAAATTTTGACTGAATCATGTTTTAGACACTCCCCGCACAAGTCGTGTCAACCAGTCCTCAAACAAAGGAGCATTTGATTCTGAGTCCAACCCATTAAACTAAATGTTGTTGGCTTCATGACATTTCATGGCAATTGCAGTAAGAAAGTACATACATGTATTCCAACGATTATCAATCATCTTATTTCTCCTTACAATATCACCCCTGAATTACACATTAAAGTCACAAGAATAAAGAAATGATCACCAACTTATGAAACTCTTGTTTATAAAACAAATTCTCCTTGTCAGCACCCAAGGAAATGTATAGAGAACAGTATGGAGAATATGGATACTGATATTGGGGTGTAAAAGGTTAACAAAACAGGAGTAACTTACATTTCTTTTTGATTGCTGCTGTTTGTGTTGGCTTGAGATAAACCTTGTGAAAGTCCCCTCCAGGAACAACAACAGCTACATCTACATGAAGTACAGAAAAAATAATTAAGGAAAGATTCATTTCAGTGTGAAGGTCACAAGAAACTCTTGTTTGTAAAACAAATTCTTGTTGTCAGCACCTTAAGAAATGTAAAGAGAACGACAGTATGGAGAGTATGCATACTAATGTTTGGGTGTAAAACATTGAGCGAATAGCAGTAAAATAAACAAAAGGTTTTTGATGAACCAGAGGTTGCATGCTATCTCTCAGTTCTTTGACAAGAAAAAACTCCCACTTAAAATTTTCCAATAAAAATTTAGAAAAAATACAACAACAAAAAAGAAATAAGGAAAGAGAATTTACAGATAACTAAATTATTAATAAATAATGCAGACCTTCTGAAGAAAGATTCAAAGTTTGATAATCAGCATCACTGACTATGCTATCTTCATCCATATCAAGTCCTGTATCATAAATTATCGCCGTAAATTATGAAAAAAAACTGAAAGAAAAAAAAGATGTTGCTAAAGTGAATATTAATCTCTATGAATTGGAATCTAGACATTGATAACTGAGAGGCCTGGACTGGGTACAAGCAGGGTGCAAATTAGTATATAGTACTTTAGTAAATTACTGCTTAGGTATCTGTGCACATCTTTTTAATAATCTGGCAAGCAAGTAAATAACAAGTTTATTTCTAGCTTTAAGAGAGTTCTAGTCTCCCTCCCATCCAGACAATCAAAAGTATTACATAAGAATTATTGTATCTTAATTAATCTCACTTGTGTTTGTTAATTATTCTGGATTACTGGATCGTTGGTTTACTGTATTTGTCAAATATCTTTTATGTAATAGTCTAGTGTGTTATTTACCTAGGATATATACATTTAATAGACTGTCTGGTCCCAAAACAAGCCTCTGTCTTTTGTGGCGTTTTAAGTGCACATGTACACTTACATGATAATGAAATATTTGGAAGTCAACACTCGCTTACTTACTCTCACCCATGCACTCTATCTGTAAAAAACACCACAGACTGATGACCTTGTTTAAAATGCCCTCTAATTGTACCTTTACAGCAACCAATGTTATTTTGTAAGAAAAACTTGTTTCTCATTGATCTCTCTAGTTTTGATTAGTACCCTAAGATTTCAATATCAAACAAATATGTATAAAATTATATAAATGTGGGGGTAGAGTCTACCTTGGCATAAAGTTCTCAATGCTGTGATAGCAGAGCTGAGTATATATAAGTGAAAGAATCAAAGAGGACACATTGATTCTCTGTTACTCTGAGTTTCGCGCCTAAGCGCTTGTCAGACAGAACTTTCTATATGTATGTGTCCTCTTTGATTCTTTCACTTATATATAAATTATATATATATATATATATATATATATATAAATTATATATATATACATAAGTTAAAGAATTAAAGAGGACGCATCGATTCTCTGTGACTCTGAGTTTCACGCCTAAGCGCTTGTCAGACAGAACTTTTCTGAAAAAGAAAAGAAAAGTTCTGTCTGACAAGCCCTTAGGCACGAAACTCAGAGTCACAGAGAATCAATGCGTCCTCTTTAATTCTTTAACTTATGTATACTTAGCTCTGCTACCACAGCATTGAGCACTTTATGCCAAGGTAGACTCTACCCCCACATTCATTTATATATATATATATATATATATGTATATATAATATATAATTATATATTTCAAAATATACACTGCACAGTAAGATTAACACGCAATGGAGACTTGTGGGACTGGGCTGAAGAGTCCATATAATCAAGAGTACAGATAATTTAAAGTATAAATAGTGATGAACCAAAAAACTGAATACAGATCAATTAAGCAATATCACCATGATGCAAAAATTAAGGGCCATTCTCAAAGAGGTTTGGATAATCAAGGTTTGACTGTAGTTACATCATTTTGTGACACAAGTATTATATAATATTACTATAAACTTATGAATCTTTTTGGATCTTAATTAAAGAGGAAACAATTCTCATCTTAATCCTGAAAAAAAGTTACCAGCATTCTTCCTCAAAAAAAAAGAAAAAAGAAAAAAACCCAATGTTGAATTAAGACCTGTGACAACTTAATCTAATTACTTCAGGCACACTTGCACCAGCATACAGTCGATTGCAAAGAGGTTGACACTTAGAAAAGAGTTTACAATAATAAAAGATGAGACCCTGTGGCTCCCTGGGTACACATACACACAACAGCCACCATTAGCAGGTGGTGAGCAAAGCTATCCACACTTTCTTGGAAGGAAAGGATTACCATAACAAAGGTTTTTTCGTAAATAGTGATAAAAGTGAATCACTAATTATATATCTACACAACCACTTCCCTTCAAGCATTTCAGCCTCATCATTCATGGATCATAATTTTTTGGGGCTCAACTTTTTTGTAATCAAGTGTGTAAAATAATATTCTAATTCTTCTGCAGAGAGATTTCAGTTTTTGCTGAAATCCACATGATCACACAAAACACATAGAATCATAAAATCATTTAAAAAAATCAACATTTTTATTATCTTTCCCTCATATACACTTTAAAGTTTCTTTTGAATATTTATTATCAACAGTCCAGACACTGTTAATTATAACACCTATGTCTATCATTCCATATGTTCCTATTGAAAACTTGTCTGATAAGACAGCCAATCACAAACAGTAAAAACAGTATGTCAATATTATATTAAAATATGTGTCTGTAAACCATAGCTACACCAGGATTTCACATAAATAAAGTCCAAGAGGGTATTAAGCACTTTGATACTTCACTCTTAAACTTTAGGATTTTTTCCTGAATGTTTTTTATTTGAGTGTTTCACACCAGGACAAGATCTGAGTTTTTAAAATAGAAAATGAAATCTAAGTTTGATGTGAAATGAATTTCCACAGCTGTCGGTCGTGGGACACTTGAACGCCAAACAAACGGACAGCTGTCACAAGCTGAATGCAAATGGTTTTATTTTCTTTTAAGCAAGAGCAAATCGAGACCTTTTGAAAATGAAATATAAAAACGTTCTTTGAGAATCAAAACACAAGAGTTTTATTTTCTAGAAGGAAACTGCGTACCAGAAAATGAAATGAATGCCGTCTATCTCATCGAAGACACCAGCAATATATATGTACTGACATCATTTTCTTATCTGTGAAGACAGTCGAATCTAACCCACAATTTTATCGTCCTTAACCGAACACAGTAATTCTATAAAGTGGATTATACAAACTAGATTATAAGTTACACCGACTTCTTAAATCCACGGGCCGAAAGAGCCTTAAAACTTGAATATTCAATTTTTCCAACACAAACAAAAGAAGACACACGTTGTCGATCTTCCGCAACAAACGCTTACTGACACTTACCTTAAAAAAATCCCGTTTATTTAAAAAGTTTAGCCGGATCAAAAGTGGTCATACAAGGTTCAAGGTTCTGAGGAATCATTTCTTCTTCGGGGCAAAGAACACTACGTAAGGTCTGGCAGTTGACAAAACCTGTCTGGGACACTTATTTTGTAATGTGTGACACACAGCGAGTATTGACTTGATCACAACCACTGACATGACCGCGGGCTATGAGATATTTTCGCTGCGTGACAGAGACAGTTAGCGTGACTTTTTTCTTAGCTATGTGTCATGCAACCATGAGATTCAATCTTGTAATTTCTTCAGATCTAACTAGAAACTTAACCCTAACCCAGCCGGGTCAAAAATGTCAAAAATCATCCCCATATTGAAGACAGACGATGAAACGAACCTAAGCAATATCTTTGTTATCTGATTTTAACAGAATTCCCTCTCTGTATGGGTTGCGCGAGAAACACTCACCCAAGGTGCAACTAAAAATATTGAAAATACTATTTACAGCAAAAAAAATTTGTTTTGATCTTGGGGTGAAAGGCATCGTGGTTTCCCAATGTAGTTGCCTATTGCTCTAGAAAGTTTGGTACTAAAAGAGCCGATCTCATCTCGCCGTTCGCCGACGCATTAATACTACCCACAGGCGACACGAGGACGGGCGTCTTTTTTATTTTATTTCAATTCTTTTTTCTTCTCATTTTTTCTAAGGGCCTTACGCGAAACGAAAAGCGATGCGTGACTTGCGCAAGTAAACAATTAAACAACATTAATTTCGGATTTAGCGAAACGTGACTCTCGCCTCGCAGCATATGGAGGTGCTGTGTTACAACAGTTTTGAACAAGGAAAAACGGATTCCTAATTTCTAGTTGGTCTTAAAATTTTATCGTCCTGTGATTTATATATGTCACCGTCATTTATTTCTAATAAACCTAATTTTCAATAGCCAGTATTGCATGTCAACACACGCATGGAATGGTCGGAAAACTATCTGTAAATAACTTGATGGAAATCGACATATCCCAAGACCTAGAAACCCCCTTCTCTCTTCGATTATTTTCTATTGCCTCATCACTTTGTTTTTTGTGGAGTTGTAAACAAACGCTTTTCATCGTATCTACAAGACCAGACGTAAATTATGCAAAATAGTCCAACCGTATCTGAAATAACCTTCACAATATGCGGCTCTGTATCAAGACCTTTATTATATATTTTGTACATCTTTGTACTTAACTATTTTTTCGCTGACGACACTAACATTCTATACTTAGTCAGACAGAGACTGTAACTCACTAGAACACGTTTTCAGTCCGGAACTTCTAGAATTACACATATGGCCAACTAGTACTTCAAATAAAGTAAGCCTAAATACTAAGTAAAATCTTATTTTGTGATATTTCGTTCTTATCAAAAGAAATTACCCTTTCAACCTAAAAGAAGTATATTTGACAGTGAGTGATCTTAGAAGAATTTGGATGTCTTTCTTGATTTCTAAGATTCCGTCTTTCTACAGTCTTTCTATGAAGAACCATACTGAATACATTGCTTTGAAAATTCGTAAAACTGTAGGCTATAATTGCAAAACTAAGACACTCTGTCCCTCTACGTATGCTATTGAATATTCATCGATCTTTAATCTCTCTTTATATTGCGGATTATCTGTTTGTAAGTCTCACCTAAACAAAATATCACTGTTACAGTAAACGTGCACTCCGTCTCATACATTTTGCATACATGTATGAATACACCATCCCTCTGCCGGTAAAGTTACACTTCTACCTCAACCCTTTTTGTATAGTAAAAATTTATCTGAATTGATTCATAATGTTAAAATTGCCTCAGATTCAATAAACATTTGTAGTTTATTTGCGGAAAGATCTAAAGTTCATTTTACAACACACGTTTTTCTACTTCTGATAATATTTGTCTTAAAACCCCTAAACCTTATATTGTACAAAAAAGTGCTTTCTTAAGAATCGGCGTCACTGTAGAATGAAGTTCGACGCCCTCTCAGGGAGCTACGTACCGGAAAAAATCACTCAGATTTAAATTTGAAAATAAACTGCTTAGTATTTTCGAGAGAGAGAAAATTCCCTTTTCGACTTACACGAGACCATTCCAATGGTAAGACTTTCAAGTACTCAATAGCGGAGCTCGCAGAGCGTAGCCCCATAATTATACAAAATAGTAGTAACCCATCAAGCCGAAAAAATTTGGATGTACGACCGTAAGACCGTATGACCGACCGTACAAGGTGCTACTTTTAGCATGCGCGGCCAACTTTACCACGGGCACTATCTTATAATCAGTCCTCTACACGGACACGGAGAAGTTGCGAATGAAAATCCATCAATATTACCAAGCACTTTATCCACTGTAGGGACTTTAGTTTTGTTGAAGAGATGTGCGGGAAAAAAGAAATGCGAGCTCCGCTCTTAGGCTTGCCTAAATCTATATACTAACGCCCATAAAACACTTGGCGACCATGAGTTAAATATCACGTTTCCTGCCTTGCATCATTTCCAATTACTTGAGATCATTCTTTACGCATCTCTCATAAATTAATGCAGAGGCACTGCAGTTGAACTATTTACCTTCCAGTTTATGATTTACCAGCTATATTTTCATTCTTGATTTTCTACGCGAGTGGTCCTCATTAACATTACGAGTGAGAATACTTCTAGATAAGACATTCTGGTGGTTTGTAACTAGCATTAAAACACATCAATTGTGTTTAAAATGATATGACAAGGAAAATTGGACCACACTTAACCTCTCATGAAGATGAAGTTATGGATTTAATAATTATTACCGCTGACCACCTTTCCTCCTTCACTCGCCTTGATCTCCTTGCACGATTCCGCAGGCAACTCACGAATTGATCCGAGAGGAACTGCATTGAAATGGCCCATTTTAGCGAAAGGAGAGTAAGGAAGATTCATTGCTGACAGCGTAAATCCTTGAAATTTAGATTACCCATATTTTTTTTTCATTACCTTTAGTGAAAGCAAGTTTCCCTTTATGGGTGTAAACCTGATTTAATGAATATGTGAAGTTTTTCATTTTAGTTAGGCCCACATTTCTAAATAAGTTGTAAACATGTATTGATGGTGTCGTCACAAGAAAGTTTGAAACTTGAAAATTATTTGTTATTCTCCTTTTAAGGTGTGTATCAAAGTTCTGAAGTCATGGTAGGCTTAAACTACAGGATTGTAGGAAATCTGCATTGAAGCCAGGATTGTGACTACGTGGAACGTTTTTACTATTTTTGTGCAGATACATATGGTTGTTGTGAAAAGCTGTTATGCTGCAAAATTTTGTTAAGCCTCTTTCATTAGAACATTTTTTCTTAGAATGTTGTGAAATTGGCCTACACTGTATTCTAATTTTTCTACCAAATTTTAGATTCTTTTGAATATTATTAGATCAGATCTCCTAGTATCAGTTATCAACAGGTCTTTTGAAAACTTTTCATAATTACGTGAATTGTGCAGATGTATTGTACATTAATTTTTCTCCTGGCCCTGTTCACAATTTATTATGTAGGACTTGGTATTATATTGGCCATAGATGTGCAGTCAAATTTAAGTTTTGTGCACAGCCATGCATCAAATTTTGGTAATAAAGCATTGTATTCTTCCTTAAACTAGTGGATAAGAATAGGAAAGAGTTGAGATTTACTTTGCTTGGAATGTTTAGGACTTACTCTATAGTTAGCAGTCTATAGACACTTCTGTAAAAATATGCGACAGACAATGCCCAGCCTCATATTGGGTACATTTAAAGTTACGCTCGCAGATCGAACTATCATTTGAATGGCTTCCGCAGTCTTCTTATAGAACAATTTGAACACAAACACGGAAATCAATCTTTATTTTCCGATGTTCAGATGGCCAATTCAATATTTCTTTGTTTGTCAAGTAGCATCGATCCATCAAGGAGTGTTTTCATTAGAAACGTAACTATTTGACTCACAAGGAGTACATTCAAAATAAAGGCTGTTATACGAATACAAGGCCAGAGCTATCGCAATTGAGACTATCTTAGGTTTGGGTGTGTTGCTATGGTGACACTTACAGACCGATGCAGTTGTAATCTTGGCGTTCTATTTTATACTCGCGTGCTTAGCGCCTTCTAGAGGACAAAAGATGTTTTCAAAAGTCATTCTAATTGCAACGGCAAGGTCGGCGAATGTTGTTTTCAAAATCTCTCAAATTATTCTCATTCATGATTCATCATTTCAATTTTATTTTAGATCGAATAGAAAAACAAAATTTTGAAATGGGTCGAGTTTCATTTCTTTCTGTTGGTTTTGCCACAAGAGTAACTTTCGGAAAACATCTGAGGCGATAGAATATGAAAACTTTACAAATTTACATAAAAAAAAATCTCGGGCATTTTAACACCTGCCAGTTTGAGTGAACGAATTCAGTCCCTATTTGACAGCATAGCTTTATGAATGAATCAGTTTCACTAGGATATCACAAAACTGTTAAAGGATAAAATCTACGATGTTCGATATATTTTTCAAAGTTTTGAAGAATTTATTTCTATATTTTAATTTCGCGGTGGTCGTTGTAATCTTGTAACATTTATCCATCGTTGTTCGATGAAATACTCCAGTTAACTCATCAATTGTTTCAAAAGGAAGAGTTTCGGAGATGGATATTTTATCAGTGATAAATCCGCTATCACCTTGTACTGAAGTTAATAAGAAGATACTTATTAGGAGTATTTAGTGATAATGAAGGAAGTAGAGTATTGTCTGAAATTCTCAAACTAATAAAATGGTTTGGTCATTAAGAGGTTGGCGTGATTGGAACATATATTGTTATGATCACCCTCCCCAAGATGATATAGTGGGCAGCGCAGGGGGATCTTATGATATGTTCGCAAAAAAAATAAACAAAATGAAAGAAAGTGATGTCGCTTTATCATCAGTCGGGACTTGACACTCAGACTGTAGTATTCACGTTTTGTATAAAACATAATAAAAGCACTAGCTTGACACGAACTAGAACTAACAGCCTAGGAAAATACGTATGATTACATCAGATGTCATTAATAAATCAGTTGTGGCATGACTGAGAACTAGAATGACAAGCAACTTTCGAAAAATATTACAACAAGATATTTCTGAGGGAAAAGGA